CAATTGAAAATAATCTAAAATATAGAAATCACGTGCACACAATCTGCGTTTCCACAAAGCGTACACGAAGGTATGTGATCTGTGATTTCAAATCTGCAACCACGGGTGTTAATTTAGTCGTTTATAAAACTGTCGTATGACCGGTACTAGAATATGCAAACACGTGGGACCCTCATGGAAAAACCACATGCAGACGCTAGCAAAGTTTCAAAGACTTGCATCTCGCTGTATTCTTTTCAGGTATAAACCAACTGACTGTTAGTGATATGTTTAAACTTGACCTTTCACCTCTTTCTAATAGGCGTAGGAACGATAGCTTTAAGTACATTTTCATGTTGCATCATGGTATGTTTATCATTGAATATAGAAAGTGCCTGAAGCCTCGAATAATTTGTGAATTAAAAAATACTCACCGAAATTTGATCGAACTCCTCCAGACTAGAACTAACGTGTTTCAATATTCACTCTTCCAGAAAAAAAAAAAAATCATAATAAAATTTTCTTTTTCAGGAAATCGCAAATTCAGATTCTCTGGTACATTTCTTTACCGCCTAGAACATTTTTATACCTAGTTTTTTTATGATTTGCATGCAGTGCGTGAAACTTCAAGGACATTTTTAAGTCAGAACTTTCGCTTTAGAGCGCATAAATTGGTTTGATAGAGCAAACGCAGGAGTAAAGTCAGGTAAAAAATGCAAATGTCCGTTCTTTTTGTTACATTTCAATGCATATATCACGGGAGTTGCGCTGTTGTTGTTGATTGCTGATGTTTGTTTTTGAATTGTTACCCCTGTCGAGATACCTTCTTTTGTAATAACCCCAAGAGAGGTTACAGTATTGTAAAATGAATAAAGTAATTTTGTTATCGGTTATCTTTTCTTCCAGAGAGCGCGTGCAGTGGGTATCAGGTACTGCAGAAACCCAAAGTATCGAGCTGATTGTTTTAAAAAAAAATGTGTGGCGTAGTTTTGTACAATAAAGAAAACAAAAAGTGCAGCGTAACTTAGTGGTACCTTCTCCGCTTCTCATGCAGCAAGCCTAGGTTCGATTCCCGAGGCCGGCGGGTGATCTTTTTCAAGGATTTTATAAGATCGGCGACAGACACCCCGCGTCACCAACTACAACATCAATAACTATAACAACGGATCTAATTTTCAGTGGTGAGAAAAGCCCATAACAGCTGTCGCTGTAAAATGAAGAAAGCGGCTGAGACGCCAGCCTCGGAGAGCGCGTCCGAGGAACGCGTGCTCCGGGTCACATGTCTTGCGTTCCAGCCACTTCATTTGTGTGTGTGGAGCGACACCGTTTAATAGCGTGTTTACACTTGCGAATTCGCGGGCGCATCCGCGCAGGCGGAAAGGGGATTTTTGAGCCGGGTGGCAAAATCAACTCGCCCCTGACGGAAAATCTGTATATCAGTCCCGGACGGATCCCGATTTTCCGCAACGACGTGTCGATTTCTCCACCCGGTTCTAAAATCCACTTTCCGTGTGCGTGGATCCGCCTGCGAATCCTCAAGTGTAAATGCGCCATAAAATGTACAAATAATGGCGAAAAGTAGAAGCATAGACCTTGACATATCTGAAGCATGTATAGCTCTACTAAGGGTTAGAGAGCTATAGGTTACGATGCACCTTATAAAATATAGGTATACTAAAATTTAAAAATATGCACTTATGATAGGTTAGCGATGTAGCTGATAGCACGCGATAACAGCCTTAAACTCTGCGGTGATTTTGGGAAGAAGTAGCTAGAGTGTGTAGATTTCTCCTCTCTGTTTATTTTGAAAGTATTTTATCAGTCTTATTTTTTCTGCCATGTTCCTAGGACGTAAAAAAAAACTGCCCTCATATTATAGCTTTGTTACTATTTTACGTGCAGTAAATATCACATGGATGGTGACAGCGTAAGTCACGAAACTTACGTATTTATAATGTAACATCAAGTCAATTAGATTAGTTTCAGTACAGGAAATTAATGGAAAGAAAGTGTCCTTTGTCTCTAGGTTACTTTCATGCGAAATCGTTTGTGGACGTTAAGGAAATCTGTGCCGAGACCCTCATGTATGCTTGAAAGTCAGTATATTAAAATAATAGTGAGTTGCAGCAGCTCACAACTTCGTGACAAAGCAAGCAATACAAGGCAAATGTTAAACTTACTTGTAACAAAACACATTTGTTGTTGTTTTGTTATCTGTGAAAGGTGGTTAATGTTGGACTTACGCACAAAGTGATCGGCCAGCAAGTTGGACCGACACAATTTGTAAAAACTTGAAGTTCAGGATTCTTCTTCGTCTTCTTCCTTATGTAAAATTCAGATAACAAAATAAGTTCGCTTTGTACCCGCCACTTGCACCTGACATATCTCGTGCCTCTCTAATGTAGACAAGTTAAAATATAAAAAAAAGAGACAGTAAAGAAATGAAAGCAATGCTCCGCATCAGTTTAAATCCTAATGCGGCGAACGCCGAGTGCCGTAAAATTCAATTGGGCGCGCATATTGGCGCTGCGGAGTGTTAGGTTTCAGATATCAAGGAGCTTCAGCATAACTTTCCCGTCAACCCATTACGATTATTACCATACCCGCACAAGGCTAGGGAACATACCACCAAACAGTGTTGGGCAGAAATACTCAAAAATGTATTGGGAAATACAAATATTGGAATACAGTAAAATAGTAGCTAAAATACTGATACTAAAATATGTCTGTAAAAATGTGTCGCGATACGTATCGGAAATACATTTTAAATAGGGGCAGAAAGTATTTGGAAATACAGATACAGGAATACACTTTAGGGAGGACAGAAATACAAATACAGAGATACTGATACTGGAATACATTTTTTAAACTTGTTTGAGACGCCAGCTGAGTTGAAGCTTGAAGTTTGAAGTGGAAGTTTTTCATCCCAAAATTACTTTCCCATAGGCTTGGCATTTTGCCTTGAATGTAGTGGCTTCGGACGACGAGGAGTCTTCAATGGGCTCAAAAAAACGTTTCCGGACGTCCTGTCTGTCTAACGAGGGATGCGAAAAGACTTCGACCTCTAAATAAATTTTATGTCACCCTAAATCTCATCATAACGTCACCAAGCCCCTGTCCAATAAGGACACCCCTGTCAATATTGATCACATGACGTCACGGTGGAATGAATTGGTATTGTTTATCAGTAGGTGGGTCCTCGAACATGAAACTTTACCACGCTAGTGTATGAAAGTACAATACGTACTTTCGTTGTAGGTTACCTCGTTGAAGACTGTGCTGGCAGTGTCATTTGGAATTTTCGAGAATAGTGGACCAGCTGAAGCATCCTCGAACACATGTCTTTTCTACTGTTACGGTTGAAAAAACGATACGGTGGCATCCCTGTTGTGAAGGTCCTTTCTGCCGACCTTCCGCCACCGACACATGAACTGCAGTCCTCAATTTTCGCCTTGCATCATCTAAACAGAAATCTTTTGGATTGCGACCTGATACTGCCGGCACAGGTGCGAGTTTTCTGAGAAACAGCGCGCTCGAGACGAGTCACAGGTGTACGAAGTCTGGGTCGGCCCAGCGAGGCCACGTCTGGCCCCCTTCCTGGGTTTCGGATCATCAGAGCAGCGGGTCGCGTTCATGTCGGCTGATGACGTACCCTTGAGCCGTGCAATATTACGGGTTCAGCCGCAGACACATTCGGATATGTGTTGCTTGAACATCACTGCGTGAGTCATCCTACTATTTCAAGTCAACCACTGCAAGGCTCATGCTGCAACGGACTGTGACTCAGCTTTGCCGGCTGGGTGTATTGTGTACGCTAAGGCGAGAGAGACGATTAGCAGCGGGCATTAGATGCCGGCACACAATAACTCAAAACATCCCTCCCTAAGGACCTGCGGCAGAAGATGCTCTGACTCTACTCCTGGCACGCCATCTGGTTCGAGTCCCCGACTACACAACACTTCTCAGAAGAGAGAAGAGGACGCATGAAAAAATAGTTTGGAGAATCGGAAGGAACCTTGGTCAGCATAGTAGCAGTGCCCCAGCATCTCCTTAACCCTGGTGCCCTCAAAAGTAAAGAAAAAAAAATGCGTTCGGATTTGTATTTTTTTTCGGGGGGGGGGGGGGGAGTATTTCTCAAGAAATGTAACGAAATACATTTCATCCTGATTGTACCCCAATACAAAGAAACATTCCAAATGTATTTCGATGCAGGAATACAGATGCTGGTGAAAAAAATGTATCGCGATACAGAAATACAGATACGAAATGTATTTCTAAAATACTATCGCGATACATTTGTATAGCGATACTGCCCAACCCTGTCACGAAAAAAAAAAAAGAAGTTTTAGCCAACCGACATTGGATATCGTGCTATTAGAAAAAAAAACTTGAGTAGAAGGTGACGGTCTTTTAAAACTGGTTTCTGCGTGCGCGCATTGGCCTCACCAGATGTGTGCAAACGAGGGTTTGTTTGTAAACTGTGTTGGTCGATATATTTCCGATGCAGTTGGGCGTGGCGGTAACACTTGACGAGGTACAGGAGCTTAGAGCGATAAGTTGATATCCCGTTCACCAGACAAAAGTGCCCCCTCTGGCTGCCGCCATGCTGTACAATTTTGACCACTAGACATGTGACCGTACCAAATCCTGAGGCGTTTACTCAAACTGAGAGGATATTTGTATCGCGATCTCTGTAAAGCACTTACAAAGCTTTTTTTTTGATACTAACTCCGATAAAAACCCAAAATGCAGCACCGCAGCTGACGACATCTAGCGAAAGCATTGCGAAGCTGCCCTAGTTTTTGTCGTAAAAGCACATTTTGGACTTGAAACAAACGTAACATAACCTGCCTCGTCAGTACTATTAATAAAGATCAATAAGCAATTATTCGCGCGGAGTACTTCGTTAAAAGCTAGACGGTGAAACTATTGGCGGCGTGCGCGAACTATAGGGGGCGCTTTTCAGCTATCATCATCATCGTTTGTGACGTAAGCAGTAGGACTGGTGGATGCCTCCTCCTAGGTCGGCCGCGCTACGCTTCGGTGCTCGGGTGGTTGCGATCGTTCCTTTTGAAGTTCTCTAGACGCGACAAAGGTTGTTTCACGCGTTGTCGAAGCGCCGAGATGGTGGTGTACTGCTCGGTACCGCAATGCAACACCTACCACGGTGAGACGGGCGCAAGTTTTTATTATTATCCGCGCGACAGGAAAGTCAGAAAGGAGTGGCTGACCAAGTTGAAAATGGGCAAGACGAACTCGAAAAGCTCTCGCGTATGTAGTAAGCACTTCGATGAAAGTGACTTCGTGTACCCTGTGGGCTACAAGGTGCTCGGTGAGTGATATTCTATCAATAGTTTCGAGTTCACTTCTTCCTGTGGTTTGCAAACGAGTAAACAAATGCATTCCCTCAACAGGCTGGAAGAGGCGGTGGCTGGCTCCTGGAGCCGTTCCAAGTAAATGCTTGCCTATCCGCCCGTTTGACGCGAAACGGCCGAAACCAATTCCGCGATCGAGACCTAGAAGAGCGAGCACGTCACTGGTAATCGGTAATGAACCAAGGGGGGGGGGGGGGGGGGGGGGGCGGGGCGGGGCGGTGCGGGGTTCGCTTCGAAGCTGTCGTACACCTGCTACGAATCATTCTGGTCGTTCTTTTTACGGACCCAACTGTTTTAAGCAAGAAGTGTGGTATGCTTTTCAGCAAGAGCTTTTAAATTTATAATCCATCTTTGTCTAAAAATTGATAAATCATTTGCTAATTTGTTGGGCCATGTCCAGCAGTTGATCAAGTTATATAAATCTGCAGGGCATAACACTTCTTAACCTTCGCGTGCAGTATGGAGAACCTCTTATTGAGCTGTGTGTCACCTGAATGGCAGCGCAGGCTAGCAGCAGAATCTTATCTCTGCCGCGTAATTTCACGAGGTTTGTCAGGTGACAGTAAATTAATTGCCTCAGTGTGCACCCTCGACAAAGCGTGATGGTGGAGTATGCCCGAGCCCTAACACACAGTCCCTCTATATACGATTTTCAGCCAGTAGAGGTCCTACTACAAGTGTTGCTGCAACAGGGGTGGCTCCGGATACAAGTGCCGACATGACAGAGGAAGCAACAATCACGGGTGTGTTGACTACTGCAGTTGTCTTTCTGCATCAGTGTCGCTGAACGAAGCCAAATACCTACCAGGTGGTTAGTCGTATTACTGTAGTGTCGTCTATGCCATAGCTTGTCTAGCTTTGAGGCAGCTACGCTGTGGGGAAGGTGGGGGCTACTATTTGTGAATCATGTCATTTAATATGCCTCCAACGCACAAATGCTCAAAACCTATACTCGGCGTGCTTGCGCTTGTGTTTGGCTGCACTCTCACACAGCAGAAACAAATGCCAAAACTTTAGTTTCACTATCGAAGCACATGCCAAGGCAACTAATTTGCATTTTTGATCTATGTTGTGCTTGTGTCCTTAGAAACATAGATAAGGCATTGATTCTCCATTTAATTTCAATGAGCAGTTTCATTCGCTGCAGATTGCCAGAGTCCTGGAGCTGAATGCGAGGCCGATGCCGACCCTGCCACAGTTGCAGCCGCTTCCAGACTGGCCCACTTTACCAGTGCTGGTGTGAACAGCGCAGCCACCATCATGGGTGTGTTTCATTTGCCTTCACATTTGTAGTAGTCATTGGCCTGGTACACAGCACACGCTTCTCTACAGCATTTTAACCATGGTGCAAGAAGAACCCATTTAGGTGATGATGCTATCCGCATTCGTGTGGAGGGAGTGCGTCCGCAAATGCTTTGCACCGAGATGTGGAGAGGGCTGCAATTGTTACTGAGCAATCGCGAGCCACCGTTTTTGGGTGCCATCTAACTACGTCAGAAACAAGTGGCAAGCACGCACCAACCTTGGCCGCTAATCGGTTCTGTGTGCCTTGGCACCTTTCTTGAGTGCTGAAAGATGGCGCCCTAATATGGAGGCAAGCTTATACAGCGCATGCCCAGCGGCGAACACAATCTGGACGGCCACCTAAATAGGTTCTTCGTACACCGCAATTGTAACTCGAAGAGGGTCGGAAGATATAACACTGTTATCATTGTCTGTGCTTGTATTGCCACGCTAGCGGGCACATAGCCTAGTGGTCAACGTGCGCGGCTTCCACGAAGAAGACCGAGGTTCGAACCCGGGCAGCGGACACACTTTTTTTTTTAACGTTCTTGTAAATTCGAGAACCTTCCCTCATGTTCATAATCAGAATGTCCTATGCACCGAACTTTCTACGCCGATTGCTCGAAGGCCAGACATGTATAATAAGGGCTCTGTGTGACGAGCTGGAGTCGATCTTGCTCAAGCGCTTGACACTGCTGCTACGCCGACGCCTGCGGCGCTACTTATTATTTTGTTTTGGCACAAGTTCGCCTTATTAAACATTCAGTTTCTTTCGTTCTTTCACGCCTCTTCATCAGTCATTCGTGACAGTATTAAAGAAATATCTACTCACGCATGCTATCCTTTCATTTCAAGAACTGTCCATGGCTAACAGCTGCAGAGATGACTTCAGCAACGAAGGTAATAGAAAGAATGTACTTTTTCCAATCTAAACTGTATTTTGTATGCTTGGTGGCTAGTGCATTTATTCTGTTTGATTGAAAGTGGTAGCAAAGGCTGACCTGAAGGGCATATCTAGCTTTGAGGCAGCTACGCTTAGGGGAAGGGGGGGGGGGGGGCTACGATTTGTGAATCATGTCAATTAATATGCCTCCAATGTAGAAATGCTCAAAAACTATACTCAGCTTCAGCAAGAACCTACAGTGGAAGCTACAAGTGCAAGCTCAGTGCTTGCGCTTGTGTTTGGTTGCACTCTCACGCAGCAGAAACAAATGCCAAAACTTTAGTTTCACTATCGAAGCACATGCCAAAACAACTAATTTGCATTTTTGATCTATGTTGTGCTTGTGTCCTTAGAAACATAGATAAGGCATTGATTCTCCATTTAATTTCAATGAGCAGTTTCATTCGCTGCAGATTGCCAGAGTCCTGGAGCTGAATGTGAGGCCGATGCCGACCCTGCCACAGTTGCAGCCGCTTCCGGACTGGCCCACTTTATCAGTGCTGGTGTGAACAGCGCAGCCACCATCATGGGTGTGTTTCATTTGCCTTCACATTTGTAGTAGTCATTGGCCTGGTACACAGCACACGCTCCTCTACAGCATTCCAACCATGCTGCAAGAAGAACCCATTTAGGTGATGAGGCTATCCGTATTCCTGTGGAAGCGTCCGCAAATGCTTTGCACCGAGATGTGGAGAGGGCTGCTTGTTACCGAGCAATCGCGAGCCACCGTTTTTGGGTGCCATCTAACTACATCAGAAACAAGTGGCAAGCACGCACCAACCTTGGCCGCTAATCGGTTCTGTGTGCCTTGGCACCTTTCTTGAGTGCTGAAAGATGGCACCCTAATATGGAGGCAAGCTTATACAGCGCATGCCCAGCGGCGAACACAATCTGGACGGCCACCTAAATGGGTTCTTCGTACACCGCAATTGTAACTCGAAGAGGGTCGGAAGATATAACACTGTTATCATTGTCTGTGCTTGTATTGCCACGCGCATCAACGCAAGCGGGCCGATCTTGCCCAAGCGCTTGACACTGCTGCTACGCCGACGCCTGCGGCGCTACTTATTTTGTTTTGGCAGAAGTTCGCCTTATTAAACATTCAGTTTCTTTCGTTCTTTCTCGCCTCTTCACCAGTCATTCGTGACAGTATTAAAGAAATATCTACTCACACATGCTCTTTTCAAGATCGTTCTATGGCTAACAGCTGCAGAGATGACTGTACTTTTTCCAATCTTAAACTGTATTTTGTATGCTTGGTGATGGCATATGCATTTATTCTGTTTGATTGAAAGTGGTAGCATAGGCTGACCTGAAGGTCATTAAATGTAGAGAATTACATGCACCATATATTCAACATACTAGTGTAAAAATGCAATATTGCTTCTATTTGCACCATTTGTTCATGTAGAAAGGTAGCCGAGTAGACAGAGTGTTGCAGCTTCCCCATTTTTTACTCGACAATGGTAGGGAAAAGCAGGAACCTTTGTGAATTGTGCAGGCTTCTGCATTATCGAATGTGCATATTCCCAATTGCCAACGTGAACAATTTCAGGTGTTGAAGAGGAGCTGTGTCACCTCAAGCGAGATATCGGTGTTCAAGTGAACACATGGACTGAGGGGAGAAGACAACTGATTACCATCTCCACTGTTAAGGACGAACAGGCACTGTTAGTGCTAACGGGCATTTCAAGCTTGGAGCTGTTCTACAACATTGCCAATTTGTTCACCGACGCTCGGAGGAAACAGTCGAAGAGGAGCTTCTCACTTAGCAATGAGGATGTCATCCTGCTCGTCTTCACCAAGCTTTACCACAATGTGTCTTTTTCGCTGCTGGCCGTCCTGTTTGACGTACACCGCACTACGGCGTCGAGTATCTTTAAGGAGGCCATTGTACTGCTAGCATCTGTTCTAGGGCGTGCAATCTACTGGCCTGACAAGGACCACGTCACTGCATGCCTCACGAAGCACTTCTATAAATACCGCATGACAAGGGTGGTCTTGGACTGCACAGAGATTGCAATTGAGCGACCAAAAGACCTGCCATCACAGATCTTAACGTACAGCATTTACAAAAAAACCTATACTGCTAAGATTTTGATTTGCACAACCCCTGGAGGCCTCATTAGCTATGTGAGCCGTGCCTACGGAGGTAGGACCTGCGACACACACATAACCCGGGAAAGCGAAGTTCTGACCAAATGTGAGCCCCACATTGACAAGGTAATAGTAGATAGGGGCTTTTTAATTGAAGATTTGTGCTATGAGCATGGGCTCGAGATGATCCGGCCACCTTTTCTTGGCCAGAAGAAGCAGCTGTCGCCTGGTGACGCAAAAAGAAATGCCAGCATTGCGAGTGCCAGAGTCCATGTAGAAAGAAGCATTCAGCGCATCAAACGCTTCAAGATCTTGCACCAGCGGTTCCCACTTGATCTGCTTGCGTACCTTAACAGCATTGTCACTACGCTTGCAGGAATTGTAAATATCTCGAAGCCACTGTTTGCAGACGACAAATATTTGTTTCCATGAAAGCTGAGTTCCATGCCAGCGACACGTTTTCTTTTATTTTAGCTTCTCAGTAACTTTTGCTTGAAATACAGTGATAACAATAAAGTTTGGCGTCAAGTTCTACGAGCTTTTTTTTTTGTGCATGTTTAATGCCCAAGGCTCTAGTCATAGATACTGAATTCCAAATCGAAGAAAACGGGTGTAATCACTAATCCCATGATGGAGGCACGAAGCTTTCACTGATTGTGGGAAGAAAAGGGAACTTCCGAAAGCAGGGAAGATCAATTAAGAGTTCACAACATGCGTACCCTGCTTTGCACGAGCATGATGCAGCTGCCACTGTCTTCTCTTTCACCACGATCTCGAGCTCGTGCGGGTCTCTGCTTAAAGCCGATGTTTGCAGCACGAAACCTACAAACGTGCTGTTACTGTGAACTTTTTCTTTAACACTGCACGTCACAACGTGCCCAGCTTCCAGTACGGCTTCTCCCTCGAGCAGAAGTCGTGATGTGGCAAACTCCTGTGCCACGTACTCGTTGATACTGGAGAGGGGAAGCGTCACTGCAAAGGAACAATAATAATTCAGACTTGGTTCACGCAGTTCCGTACGAATGTTGGAAACAACTCCAGAGCCGTGCTAATTCCTTACCTTGGACGGAAGCGTCGGTATCGGCGAGCTCCATACCACCACAACGACAACGCGCGCGTGCACAGTTGTCCCCTCACGCCCTGCTGAATGCGAACTTAACGCTGCTAGATTAAAATTAGATTAAACTAATCAGGACCAACAGACAAAGAATCGCCACACGCTAAATCCAGAACAAAAGAAAGTCAGCAGGCACTAGCAGCGGAACCGCGCATCCGCGTTGGACTGCGCGCGCGTTACCAAGTTCTAGGCTTGCTCTCGAACATCTTAAAGCTGGTATCTATCAAGAGAGCTTGGGAGGGGCTGCCGTTCAGTCCCACAAAAGCTCATGACACGTCATAAAATTTTAAAAATAATTATCAATCGTCCCTGCTGTAAACTAACAGAAATGTCTCATACGATTACATATAGCGTCGTCTGCTAGCGTCCTACTGACTAGGTTACAGAAAGCATCCGCGAGGCGGCGCCACCCAAAGATCTCGTCGCCAATAAAGTCACGTGTCTGGTGCCCAAAATTGTGTAACATGGCGGCGGCCAATGGGGGTCACTTTCAGCTACCAGTTTGTCACTCTAAGCCCGTCTAACACATTACATCGAGCGCGCAAAGGTGACGAGCGTAATGACGATGCACTTTAGTCTTTGTTAGATTAACTCCATCGCATTGTGGCCTCGAATGCGCCCTGACTTTGTGTGGAACGGAATATAAATAGTGTGACCGTAGCGCAACGCTAATACCCGCCAAACGGGCACGCTGACAGCATTCGGAGGGGGCTCCTTTAAATAATCGGCAAAGCAGCGCACTTTGAGATGGTGAACTGAGTCTCCTATTCTTTAAGAAGTGTGCCCCGAGTGTCTTCTAAACTCCTGTTTGTCCAGCTCGTTAAAAGGCATTCGGGATGAACTACTTTTGAAGATTCGCAGAATCAACTCAGCTACCTTGCGCTTATCAGCATCCGCCGATTCGCCGATATTTGAAATACATTTTTATCTTAACGTCCTTGACGTGTCCGTCTGCACCCCCGTCAGGCGGGAATGTTAATAACCTTCGGGAAAAACCCGTTTAATTAAAAGATTGGCGAATCGGCGCACGCCAATCGACGCGAGATGGCAAAGTTTTTCTTCGATTTTCGGGAACGACTGAAGGGGTATAATGTGCCCGTACCACGGGGGGTTTGAGCCTTTTTTTTTTCTGGGCCGCACCGGAAGCTTGGAGCGTTTTCTTCGGTCGATTGACACTGACGGTCCATACTTTTCTGTGAAGCCCACTTCATGCTCAAGTATCGGCGGTAGTCTTTCAGAGAGGTCACAAAAGGCTGCTTCTTTCCCAGTAAGTGGTGTCCCCAGGTCATTCCCATTTTACGTCGTAGAGTGTGGTTTTGGCGCCAGCCTGTATCCGCAGCTTTGGAGGTGTCAGTCAGAAAACCTTTTTCTTATACTACAGACGCCGTCATTAACACAAAATGTGCGATAGGGTTGGCTTCCATAAAATGAGCAATACGTTACGAAATACCATCACGAAAATCGTCATCTTGCCGCTAAATTTAGCAAATTAATAAAGCTAAATGTCGTACGCCCCGCTTATTGATGCTAAATATGTAATATTTGTAGTTAGCTTTGAGGAGGAAGAAAATACTCGTCCTTCCGCTGCGCATTTTGTGTCTACACGTTATCCGCCGGGTTAGAATCATTTTTAATATTTATTTAATTTGTTGCCTTTGACGTGCACTTTGTTTCGTTCGGCCTTTTGTTCCTGGGAGATGCTACACGACACTCTTAGTGCAAACAAATGATTGTTTGTTTTCTTTAATCTTACCAATGTTTTTTTATTAATCTTAGAATAGAAAGGATATTATCCAGACTAGTGATGGTGTGCAAAGTACTCGTTTAGAAGTTAACCTAAGAGGCTAATTTTAGAACCAGCCAATTTCCATAAGAAGTAAAACGCAAAAACGCGCCGATGTCGTATTTGCGCTAACAATGTTGCGAAGTGCGTTTTTATAAATAAATTTATCACACGAAGGAAAGTCATCTGTCCAGGTCTTGGCGAAGAGCAGCACTTGCAGCTGTAATTAGAGATTCAATTCGCCACCTATTTTTTCACTGTGTGATTTGCATATGTAAGCCAAACTTTGTCTGTATCACGAATCTGCAGGAAAAGGTGTTGATCAAACTGCAAGAAAACTGCTGAAATCGTTTGAAATAGGAAAGGAATGCGCTACATTTGGTCAGTCAAGCTTCGGTTTGCACATATAAGAATAACGTAGCCTTTTGGAAGCAGGTTTCGACGCGATAGTGATGTGAATGGTTAGTTCGATGCTTTTTTTATTAGATAATCAGTTGATGCCCCGCGCTTTTCCCGCCTACAACTTCATCGCTTTTGTTACTTGTGCGTTGTTTTCAGTTGTATCTTTATAGGTAATCGATAAACACTAATCCATTTTTAACAGTTACTAAATTGTTAAATATGAGACAAATCGGTGTGCATACTAAATAATTTGTAAAGGTTATACACAAACAATAACCTAAATTGTTTAATATTATGTCCAAGACTTTTTTGAAGGGGCATTAAATATTTCCCGGTTTTCCTTTTTTTTACATAAATGATAGTTACAAGATTCAGGAAGGTTATATCCTCGAAATTGTTTGATAAGTATTCTTTTAATAAAATGTGGATTGAAAAAAAATTATCAACAAAAACAAAATTCTTGATTTGTTCACTTTCTAATGAGTCAACATTGATAAAGGCGGGAATAAAAAAAATATTTGAATTTCTTTTTTTTTTGCCGCTAGCATGGTTTTCGGTTTTTCCCATGCAGCTTCTTGTATGAGCAAGCGAGCGTATAGTTACAAGCCTGTCAAAGTAATTTTCAAGCGCATGCTGCACGTGCTAGAAAGCATAGGAAAATATGTGGCACAATGCTTGCCATTTCCTATAACACAATATACGTTTTACAAAACTGAGCGCCATCTAGCAGCTGCTGTGCTAAGAACCCAGTGTGCCAGTCTTTCAGGCACGTATTATGATCATGCATTGGGCACGAGGTCTGCGTAAGTGTTCAGCCTGAGCAAGGGTGCATCAGTATTCCGCGACGACTCGGACCCACTAACACGGTTTGTGTCCAAAAAATGGCCATCACCAATGCTGCCCGACGGAGTTTTGAAAAGAACCCATTGCAAACCTGGTGCTTTTATTTCTCAGAGATGCACACTCTTGTCGTATTCACGCTTCTCCAATGTTACATCTTTCGAAATCCGCTTCAAGCTACGTAAGGAGCTACATAAAAGCAGGGTGCGGATCACATGCTGTCAAATGCATAAACTGTCGCCTGATATAACATTTCAAACGACATAATAGAACCCCAACGCTTTGTGTGACCCAGAAAATTGGGGTCATTTATTCTAAATATGTTTGATGTTCCAGTAATTTGAACATATAAACCCGAACAGGCGACACTCGCACATTTTTTCAAAGTGCTTCGATGTGTGCTCTTTGACGAAGCTGAATAATCGGTTTTCGAAGTTCCTAACCGATTGTTTGGGTGCAAGAAAAAACTGAGACGTTTACAGCTCTCTGTAATGCCAAATTAGAGCTCAGCTGTTGAGGAGAATGAGGGTAGGGTACGGAAGGGAGAGTCACGTGTGACGTCCCGAGGGTAAATCTTTCCCGCTAAATTCAGCGGAAAATTTTCACGCCACATATAGATGGAAATGTTTACCCTCGTGACGTCACACGTGACGTCCCGTCTGATGTCACACGTGATGTCACGCGTGGTGTTACAAGGGTAAAACTTTCAAGTTAAATTCAGCGGAAAAAGTTTCCCGCCTCATTTAGCGAAAAACTTTTTGCCGGGTTGAGTGGCGTCAAGTGTGACGTTACGTGACGTCAGACGCGACGCCACTCAGCCGGGTAAAATGTTTTTCGCTAAATGTGTCGGGAAAAGTTTTCCACTAAGTTTAACGGGGAAATTTTACCCTCGTCAGATCACACGTGACGTCACGTGTGGCGTCATCATGAGGAACGTCCCATAATGCAACGCGTGGTTACGCCGACGGCGACGCCGCTCAAGCCGGAAACGGGCGCTTATAAGAGCTGCGCTCTAAAACAATTTATGGGCTCCAAAACGCCGGATGAACTTTTTTGAAAACTTCGGGAGCACAAATTCATCAGGATGTATAGGTTCTGCTTGGTTGAATGGATGAATGAGTGCTAATGGCTGTACCCTTTCAACGGGTGGTAGCTTGCGCCCCCTAGCTTATAGCTTACCAAACGCACAGCGTGGGTTTTCATGTCCACGCTTCTCTCTTTGCAATTCGTTCTCTAACGTTCTTATCGGCTGACGCCGCCATATTATTGGCTGCGCAGTGATAATTAAAATCTGCAATACTCGCCACACACTCCGCGTTTTAATCTGTCAGTGAAAGAAAGCGATATTCAAATTAAATTCTCAGTAGGATTTAGACCTGATTGGTGTCTGAGCCAGACACTGTTGAAATCTAGGTTTAACAGGTGGAATCCCAAACGTTTCGTAAGGACTCATCGTTATCAGCTAAGCCTGTTGTCATTAACAGTCGGCAAGGTAAACTATCCAAGCATTCTCATTTGTGTGTGTGTAGAGAGACCAACGAAAATAAAGGAGTTTTTCGGATATTTGTCTCTGAACTATTTTCTTGTGAACTTGTTACATACATACGCCTGCTGTCCTAAGATTCCGAGGACATTTCCGAATGACCTGTTAATTACCATTTACGGATCGCCATATTCAAATGGGGTGTAACAAAACACTACAGTTTTATTTCGACTTTTTGTTGAGTCAGCCTTTATCCTTCACCTTTACAAAGGAAAACGAGAGAAAGAAGGGTGTTTAATGGGATAAATACGTGGTTTGTAAATCTGGGAATCATTTGCGTACTAGCAAGAATCTCACCTGAAAGCTTTCCTTCCTTGATTTACTTAAATAAAACAAATAAACATGTATATTGGGACCTCTCGGATCATTACTTGGAGCTTGAAGCCCACACTACCAAATATCCTCGCAGGTAAGTAACTGTCTACTCATGTCCTTGCCCATCACGAATAGCTTCTTATTACTCATAAAATATAAAATATTTTGCATTGCCAATATACGTTGGTAATGACAGAGATACAATATAAATTATGCGTGAAATTGTGAGAAAAAAAAAACACAAAACGATGCACTGAGTTTTGTTGAGTTTTTAGAACCTGACGCCTTAAAAATCAAGCGCCTACGGTTTCCAAAAGATTTATCCTCTAACTCATGCGTTACAATCTTTTTTAAATATTTTCACCTCTCATTCTATTGTTTCAATTACCGGAGATATGTAAAACCCAATATTCTCTTTACTTAAAAAAAAAAAAAATCGAATTCCCAATTGGCCTGACCACAGTCCAGAGGTAAGCCTATGACAGTAGAACATGCCTGCTAGCCATACATATTGTAATTTATTTTTAGA